AAATATTATCTACGGTGAGGTTAAGTTGCTTGGCTTATTTATGTTCAGTTATATGTCATTGTGCGCGGTAAAAGTGTGTAGGTAAATGCGAACGAATACACGAATACACGAATATAATAAGAAGTGGACTTGGTTTAAGTGCATTTATCATAAAAGGTTTTATCGCCACTAAAACCACTTAAGTAAAAGCTCTCACAAGACACTACATTTACTTCTTAAAACGAAGCTCGATACAACTTATTTGGTTTATTCAAATGCTCCTTGGAAACCGAATCCTCCGTTTTTCTATCGTTTAAGAGAAGCTTAACGCGAAGACAGAAGTCAAAAGACAAATATCTACACCGTAATCGGATTCGACGCAGCGAAAAAATCTTCGTACTGGATCTGTTTTCACTCAACAAAAGCTGTTTAGACTGAGGTAGTCAAGCACCCAGTCAATCGTACAGTTCTCAATGGAAAAATATCATAGAAAGCTCCATTCACCGTGCCCCAATGTTGCCGTATATTAATTGCGCACCGAGCAACGGATTACGTTTTATACGAGCCACAGACCGCGCATTTCCCGCCCGATTAGCTGCAGTATGCTATAATAGGTGGAGATGACGGCTGGAGCATACCTCGCATAGCGTTTCCGTCTCTCTGTAAATAGGTATGCCTTTTTGTACGAACTCCCCGGACAAAAGCGGAACGCTGGCGCGTAGGGGCTGAGAATTGCTTCGGGTCTCCCTGGTCGTCGAGTGCATTTCGTGGGTGGTAAATACATATACAAATATGGTCAACACAGTGATTATGGGACGACCAGCTCTGCGGTTGATAAAGCGATGGTGGTTTTTGTATGCATGTTCACGTGAAACCAAATATAACTAATATCAACGTTGTAATGGTTTATGATGTGAACAATCGACTAAAAATCATCGAAATCACCGTCCAGTCGCAAAGAGCACACCCCTCTTTGTTAGTACAGCTATTATCTAGTTGTGCGTTCGATAAGCCTCACGTGTATAGATAGGCTGATGCAGGCCGTAATTAATAAAACGAATCGCTTCGCGCGATATCGATGAAACCCATAATCACGTAGATGCCCGCTACGAACAATGCCTTTGTTCCCGTTTAACCACACGGGACTAATTAGCGGGGAATGCACCGTAGCGACGTTTTTTTATGCTTGGCCCCTCACTATCAACGGAAATACACTGTGAAAGTATGTGGTATTTCTTTGTTGTGAAATTAAGTTTTCTTTAATTGTAGATATACTTTATAAAGTTACACCTCTTTTCGCGCAACATGGAAAAATAGATGAGAGTAATTTTTTTACAATGTTGTTTTGTCAGTATATATTTTGTGTGATTATGATATAAAAAGTCATGAAATTAGTCGTCGTAATAAAGTAACTTATATTTATAAGCTTTTGTACATTACTTATATTTTTTTATCCTGTGTTTTGTGTACAATAAATACATAAATAAAAGTTAGTCGATAATTTTCGATAATCGAATTGAGGAATGTATTTATATTTATTGTTATTTTTGGAATATTCGGTGTCACCCAAGGAGGACTAACTGAGTGGTTCTTTGGCGGGACCCCGACGGTGGGTCCGACGTCTAGTTATAGCAGGATATATTATATATATGCTTGTGCCGCACGCGCGACTTGACGTAATAATTTGTTTGACTTTTAAATAGTAAACACATAGATCGTACGTACCTACATATTAATGAGTAGAAAAAGGAAGTGGATTATTAAGTTGTAGAAGAATACGCAATTATGTTTTTACTTTTAAGTACATATTAATTTGTTTTGAAATAGTTTTTTTTAGGTCGGTTTTTTTTGTTAAAATTTTTGTTTAGTACGTCGTAGGACTTTGAAGGTTTAAAATTCGTGACATCTATGTTCTTCTAAAGTCAGTTATTGTAGCTATTTTCTGCAAAAAAATGTCTATTCCCTACATTAACTTGAAAAAGTACATATTATTACATAAATTTACAAAGTACATTATTACCATAAAAGAGTTTAGCTTGGCGACATAAAGTCGGGCCGCAAGGTTGAGCTGATGTCGGTTGAGGCGAAAGCTGCATGCGCTATAACTTGCAGGAGGTACAACTTCTAGCGAAATGTATGTGTAATACACTTACCGTGCAGTAAACCAATATCGAGACTGTTCACCGTCCGTACCGTGCAACATACAGATTTCAATTTGTACTACACCTCATAGCGGAGCGGCTGAGAAGGGTTCTTAGTCCGCAGCGTCTTTTCACAGGGACCTAATTCAACGCGCCCGCCCTTTGACCGAATTCTGTAATGGAATTGGATACTTTACCGACACCGAATTCGGGGTAGCTCAACAGACACAATGGCCTTCGCTTCGCCGAATTGATTGGCGATAGGGGTTGGCGCGGCCAGACGCTACTCCGACGGCATCGGTGCGTAATGAGGAGACATTATGGCTATTTTCCTCGTTTGAAATATTAGCTATGATGTATACTGTCCTATTATCGCCAGCGGCATCGATGCAAATTAGGCGCCTCCAGAATAGGGCTTTTTCAGACCCTAACTGCATCCTATTTGCAACTTGTCTGGTATTAGGAACACCCGGCGGCGGCGATCACTTACCAATTTCTCATCTCAATTCAACCTATGATAGGCAACGCTATCATTCTTCTCTTTGTTTCAAACTCGGACAAAGAACAGTGCGTATTCTGCAGAATTGGATTCTTTAGCTAATACTATTTGAATGCTAAAGTGCAAAAAAATCTATACAATATATGTAGGTATATACAGATGTATCAGACAAAAACAAATTCGTAACGTGTACATATGAAATATTATTGTTATCAAAATAAATAAGAAGTATCATACGCATCAGTGTTCACTTTAATATTTCGCTTAATTATTTTTAGTCATCGATCCCCAAATAGTTATTAAAAGTACCTATATAAAAGAAACAGTTATTTAAAATGTTCAAAGTACCACTAGCTTAGTTCCTTTACAAAGGTATTACGTGGGAAAGGAAAACGATTAACGGAATTTTAGAACACTATTGGTATCTCTGACGTGATTGGCCCGTCTGGGCTTTGGGCAGACGGCCATTTCTCGCTTCGTTGGCGTTTTTATTACGCCGCACGTGATCGTGGACTTTCTACACTCTTTCTTGGTTTCAATCCGGAATAAACGTCTCGACTTTAGTAGCGTCTGTTTCCCTGTATTTGGGCGTAACTCCGATTGCGGTTTGACATTGTGTGAAAACAGTAAAAGGTTAATTGTGCCAATCGATGGAGATTTCTGTTTTCGTGTGGCATACTAGATTTTTCAAAATCACTGATACGTTTTCATGAAGTGACATTGAAATAATCTGTTGATTTTTTATTCGACCCTCAGTTTGATACCACTATAAACAACTATGCGCACATTTAAAAAGATTACATATTATATACACAGTACCTGGAGGACCGAGCTTTGCTCGGTTTGTTTTTTTTTTGGTAAATCGTGTATTTTGGAAATTACATGTAGATACAAATTACCGAATAATGAAATTTGTATAATATTTTTCGATCTTACCGACGTAATAATAAGAAAATATGAACTGGTATTTTTCACAAAAGAAAGAACTTTAAAAAAAAAGGGGAAAAAATAACAAAATCCGACCGAGCTATATCTATAACATTTTTTTTTCGGTGAAATTTACCGTCGTATTCGAATGATATTTTTCATTCCCTGAAAACTGGGATAAAACGACATTTTCTTCAAATGAAACCTAGCCAGATCGATTTTTCGCCCCCGAATCTACGCACATACTTAATTTCACGAAAATCGCTTGAGCCGTTTCCGAGATTCCGATTATATATATACAAGAATTGCTCGTTTAAAGGTATAAAATATATATCATATATACACATACATATTTATATAGGACAGATGTCTTCTGCTAATGATCTCAAGTATTGAACGATTTTTTTTTAATGTGAGAAGCTGCCAAAAGAGCAGACGGTTCACCTGATGATAAGTGAATACCGCCGCCCATGGACATCCGTTACACCCGAGGGATCCAGTTGCGTTGACAACCTTTTGTGAATTGGGCTCGGCCACCTCACTCACCAGACGAAACGTGAAAGTATTATACTTCCACTTTACGCCGGTCTTCTATGGTACTTACCCGGACGAGCCTGGCCCATTCGTGCAACTGCATGGCCCCACCACCGTTTGACATTGTAAAGCAAACAATATGGTTGCAAACCTTTAAAGGTGCTATTTGTTGAGAAAGGAACCGACCAAATTAGCCAGAAATATCGTGGGATACTCTGTTTAAACATAATAACGATACGAATAAAACACGCGAAGAAGTCTGTACCGTGACCATGAATGCTAGAAAGGTTTCGTGACGTCGGTAACTTAAAATTAAATTAAAACGCAACAAAATCCATAAAATAGTTTCGTTTAACCAGAAACAAGCGAGTATTAAAAAGTTATTCACAGGCAAAGGAAAAAGTCCTTTAAATGTCGATGTTAGTGTAAAATTAATTAGCCGATAACTTGTTTTGTTTACAAAGAATAATCGTTTACTGAGAGACTTTAACACTTAGATAAGGTCGGCAAGCTCTGTGATAAAACTATCGTAGCGTGTCGGAAATACAATGATGGGTCATTACTATGTTCTAGATCAAGTTTTCTGTTATTTCCAAAAGTGGTTTAAAGAAGCGTGATAATATTTGATTAGGCGACAAATTAAAAAAGCTGACGTCCACAGAAAACATATATAAGCTGTAAATTTTTTAATAATATATTTATTGCAATTTGAGGCTCGTGATTATTTCAACCGGTTCGTGGTAGACAAAGGAACAATTGGGAAATGTATATAGTACTTTTAATTTTACATTTCGTCTGATGAGCAACGGCGGAACACCTTTAAGATTTGCAGGTTGCAACCCTTAGTTCCCGGCGGACTCACAACCTGTCTGTTGCCACTGCATCTCAAAAAAAAAAAAAGAATTGAAGAATCGCTGTTACAGTGAGCTATTCGACTTTCGGAATGCCTCCTTAGCCGCCGCGTCTTCGGGCACCAGCCTCGCTACCGAACAATGACACTCGAACAACAATGGCGCCCGTGAATCAATGCAGACGGGCCCGGCAATAACACGATGATCAATCTCGCGCCGCGGAGTGGTCGCGACGTTGATGGATCGGGAAACTCCTCCGCGAGGTGGCTGATTGTGTGATTGATTGTACCTTCCCCGGGGCGATGCTTTGTTAATACGCCCTTTATTCCCGCTCATGTTGGCTGTACAGTCGGTGTCAAAATCCTTAATTTATAAAGGCATACATTATACCATTTTTTTCAAACGAGAAGGCTGTTCACCTGATGTTCAGTGGTACCGCCCGTTTACATATACAAAACCTGACGGATCGCAGATGCGATGCCAACCTATTAAAAAGTCGGTCCTAGTTACATCACTCGACAGACGACACGCCAATCTACGATATTTCGACTTCACGCCGATCTTCTGTGAAGCCGTGCAGGAGACCACAGTAGGCATCGCTGTTCTATCATAAGAAGTAGAAACGGTTAATAAAGTATGTTTGCTGAAAGATTAATTAAAAGCTTTAGTGACCGAATCGATATGTACATAATAAAGATAAACTTACCAAACTCCGCAATATTGTACTATAGTTTAATTTGCTTTTATCACATTTTTCTATTTTTAATCCTTTGTTACTTTGTATTTTTTGATGTTTTTGAGATTTATCATATTATTTTCAAAATTAATTGATTTTTTGGTTTTATTACAGTTTTATATAGTCTTAGTTTAAATTTATTTAGTTGTGATGCATATTTAATTACACATAATATTGCGGTAATATTAATTCTTTTAATTTTTATTTTCATACTTTTTGTCATTTTATTTTTTGATTTATTGTTACTACATAATTTTAGTTTCATTGTTACGGAAATATTGTTTTGGGTGTTCGCCTGTGAATGTTCGTCACATATGTAAGTAAATATGATTTAAGTTTCATCTTTCTAATGTTTAATAATGATATGTGAACGTACATTGGTTAACCTGTTGAATAACATTGGTGAACCTGTTGAATAAATAAATAAATAAATGCGGTTTTTGGTTAGTTAACTGTTTCCGGAGTTATGACATAATCTCAATAACTCGATTGAAACTACAAATTACAATAGAATTCTTTTTGTCTCGATCAAGCAATTACTTACATAGAAATTCAATATTATGTATTTGTTTACGAAATTTGAAAAAAAATAACGTGCAACGGTACCGCCGTCAGAGCGGTTATTATATATTTATGAAACTTAATCTAGGTCAATATGAATTTGGTAAATGAAGACGCCATTTGTCTACTTTTAAATTTCTATTTCAAGTCGGATCCAGTTCCGAATGTCGGAAAGTGGACGACGGCCTAGTTTCGACCTTATTTAGGTTACGCTATTAATTTTGGCTCGAATCTCTTTGACCGCTTATTTTTGTTTTTTTTTATAGAGTTTAATACGCATTTATGGCGGGCGGGTATGGGCGCAGTGTCCATAAAGACAATACCATTTTACAGTCGATGGATACCTTACATGGCTAATAACACATTAAAATATACAGTTAGTAAATATAATAAATTATACAGCCGTGGTTCGTGTCACGATCATTGTTTTTTTTTCGATTCCAGATCATTGCTTTCTTTATTTTTATATTTTTGTCAATTTGTTATTTTTTTCCCTTTTTCTTTTGTGAAAAACATCAGTTCATATTTTCTTATTATTACGTCGGTAAGATCGAAAAACATTATGCATATTTCATTACTCAGTAATTTGTATCTAAATGTAATTTCCAAAATACACGATTCACCAAAAAAAAAAAACAACCCGAGCAAAGCTCGGTCCTCTAGGTACTAATTAATTATGACCACAGTCTTGACATACGGTTATTAATGCTGGGTACTGAGCAATGAGCAAAAAAGTCGAAAAGGTGTTGGTATTTGAACGTAAAATACTTAGACGCATATTTGGAGCTTTAGTGGAAGATGAGAGATGGCGAACGCGTTATAACCACGAGCTGTACCAATTATATGATGAGCCTAACGTCATCAGGTTCATAAAGATAGGCGCCTGCGATGGGCAGGGCACGTGGTGCGAATGGACGAGGCCGGACCACCCAAATGTCTTCTGGAGATAGAGTTGGATGCGGACGAATATGACACCAAGAGCTTGGGGGTTATAGGCTGGAGAAAGAAAGCCATGAACAGATCGGACTGGAGAGATTTGCTTGACCACGCTAAGTCCCACCCGCGGCTGTAATGATGATGATGACCGACTTGACTTGGCAGTTCTATTACTATATAGATCGGCCCAAACATACTATACATTTGGAAAATGTCATCCCAAGCGACGCGGCGTTCGTCTAGCTACCTCAAGATTATTTAAATTCAAATTGATAGATCTAAGATAATCTGAAGAATGTGTAGGGCTAAAATATTTTTATTAACTTTACAGGCGCCAAACTTCGTCATCAGTTATTCATAACATAAATTATAATTTCGCGAAACATTCCCTTAACAATACCAACAGGATTAACACAGAGGCGGCATAACGGCAAGAATATTAAGCAAGGCGGCGGCTGGCTGGAGAGCGTTATGAATATTGTCAACATAAAAATATTTGTGTTTAAACAGGGCGTCGAGCAGACGGGACGGCTGCGAAATTCTTACGGGTCCATTTAAACGGGCCAGCGCGCGATTCTGTGAGGGCATCCGGTGTAACTTGAGCTGCACGTTCCCCCGTGGTACTGCTTGCCTTTCCCGGGTGGGTACCTCCATTAAGTTGGAAAGCCTTCGCAAAGGGCCGCGTCGCCATGGCAACGGGCTAACACCTGGACACAATTGATAGTTCGGGCGACGGGAGAAAGGTCTGAAATTTGCATATTAATTTATCAAAGGATACGCTCATTTGGTAAATTAATATTTTTGGGGTGTAAACCGGATTTCTCGAGCGTTATACGGCTATTTGTGTCGTTTTGCTTTATCTGATTCGTTTGGGTTATTAAGCAAATGTGATGTGCATCTGAACTTTGATATAAGTTACTGTTATTAGCTCGAAAATAAGATTTCCTTAACAGCAGATTCCATTCGAGTTTTAATAATAATAATAAAAAAAAAAAGAGTAAAGAAACATATCAACCGTCCACAAATCTCGAATGCATAGTGTCAATTCCATCTGCGTGAACTAGTGACGTGCTCGTTGGAAAGCGTGCCTACATATCGACACGGCGTCAGCACGTCCCTCCCTCATCGACTATTCATCGACGGCACCGCTGGCCGCTCATTAATATTGATGACACTTTCGCGGGTGTCTCGCAACCCTCCGATCGCCTCTGGAGTTGATTTTGCAACTAAATCGTTCGTACATTTGAATGGTGAATCGATCATACCAAGGATCATCACTGGTTTTAAGGAAATGTCGCTGTGCAAATTTTAAATTTTAAACGATTATAGATAAATATTATTAGGTAGATAATTATTCTTATTTGTGCATGATCATCGCAATGCGTTTTTTATAATATCATTAAATTATTATAATGCTGACAATAGACCGGGATAATTCGGCTTCTAACACCTGTCTGCACCTGCATTTGTCTCGTGGACTATGATTTCTGTTAGTATTGAATAAGTTGGGAATAAAAAATTAAACTTGATCAAACCAGTAGGTTTATTCAATGATGTCTTGCCTTTTCTTCTATTTATTGCCTCTTCAAGAATGTTAAATATTATTGGTGTCGCATTTTCAATTGTGATAATTTGATTCTACAAAAAGATGAACATAGACATCTGATACTTATGATGCCGATCCACTATTCAAAGAGCCCTCGATACCATCAAAACATACAACTGTCACCTGTCGACAGTTGTATCTGTACTTCATGAGTTAATTTGTAATTCAATGTTACATTATTGTGTTGGCGTCGTGTCCAGCTCCGCTTTTAATTCAATAATACTCTAATTGAATTCATAGTAAGCGCCGCTGGCACCGATGAAATTGTTAACAGCAAAATTAAGCGCCGATTTACCGTGCTCTGGGCGGTGAAGGAAAAAATCGGAAGGAAACCAGTTGCTCGAGTATATTTAATTTAAAGCGTGCGGACACTTAGCTTCAAGCCTATATTATAATGGCCTATATTATATTTATAACAAGCTGATACAAGGGACTTAGTGTGCGTAGCTTATTATATGAACAATGTATTTTATGTGCTACACCGCTTGCTCCATTTCTTCACGGTAGAACACAAATCACTGAAAACGTAGTGTTTGTAAAAATCGGTGTTCTGAAAGTTATAACTAATACATTATATGTATAGATTTCACATTTTTTTTAAATAAGGACGCGATGTCTTAACATTGACCTTTTGAAAAATTTATTGACCTCCAGTACCTACTTTTCCGTGAAGCGCACACCAACAACGGCAGACCTCTATCATTTATATAAGATTAGTACATTAAAAAATACAGTAATAGTTTAGCTTTTACTCTAATTTTCTGATCACTTACACGGTGTCACTCAGATGGCAGACTTCGCATTCCGAAACCTCGAAATTTTTGCAATCTCCGGCCTCCGTCGAAAAACGACAACGCAATCGTATCGATGCTCACCAATGTGTCAGCAGGAAACGTGGCGAAACATCGCCGTCGGCATCAGTGCGAACGACCTACTAGGGAGGGGATTTGGTCTTCATCGTTCCGGGTATCGCTTCGCCACGTACGGACGTTGCCTAATCCGCAAGCGCTCCGGGTAATGGACGGCCGGGAATGTGTCATGAATACCCAACAGACCCCTGGCCGGTACGCTATCTCGGCGGTTTAATTGCGTGCGACTCGTATGCGCGGGCGGCCGTTACGTTTGCCTTATCGCCGCTCGTCAGAGGTATCGATTGAGCTCTGTGTAGGGGAGCCCCGCTTTGTACTAATCAAGCAGCGGTCGGGCCCCAATCATACGGTTCTCGATCGAAGAATATAATTACAGCACACGTGTAACTGTCTCTTTGAAGAGAGCTCGCTCTTGTGGAATGATATGTACTGTGATTATGCCTCGGCATTGCGAAACTGCCATAAGTTTACTCGTAAAAGTATTTGTTTGTGTCATTAATTCTTCTCTGTAATTAGCTATTTACTTATTCGTATAAGTGTATATGAAACCTCTACTATAGAGATGAATGTTAGCGTAGTGTTGTAGTAATGTCATTGTGTAGCGGTAATGTTTTTTTTAAACAAATCC